GAAGCACCAAAAATAAATAAATAAATAAATAAATAAATAATTTTTAAATTTTTTTTTTAATTTAAAAATATGCATACACACCCTCTCAGCCCCAGAAAAGCCATGGGAAAACCCCTGTGGAGATTTTGCCAAGAAAACCCCAAGAACAAGTGATAACAACAATAATCAATATCATCATGGCGGGCGGCGGCGGCGGCGGCGGCAGCGGAGGCGGCGGCGGCAGGACCAGCCTGGGGCTGGTCCAAAGGCCTCGGGGGGGTGCATCCGGCCCCCGGGCCTTAGGTTGCCTACCCCTGCTCTAGATCAAGGGAAGTAATAGTGCCATTCTAATCTGTTTGGGTCAGGCCTCACCTGGATCCTGGTCCAGTTCTGGGCACCACAATTCAAGAAGGATGTTGAGAAGCTGGAGCATGTCCAGAGGAGGGCAACCAAAATGGGGAATGGTCTGGAAATCTGGAAAGGGTCTACATAAAAAGGCCTTGCATATGCTGGGAAAAAACAGAGGACAGCGGGGACCAACTTAGAATTAATCCCAGAATCATAGAGTTGCAAGAGACCCCCAAGGGCCATCCAATCTAACCCCATTCTGCCATGCAGGAAGACACAACCAAAGCCCTCCCTGTGACAGATGGGCATCCAGCCTCTGCTTGAAAATCTCCACCAGCCTCTGGGGCAATGTTTTCCACTGTTGAGTAGCTCTTATCATGAGGAAGTTCTTCCTAATGTTGAGATGGAATCTCTTTTCCTGGAGCTTGCATCCATTGTTCTGGGTCCTGTTCTCTGGAGCAGCAGAAAACAAGCTTGTTCCCTCCTCAATATGACATCCCTTCAAATACTTAAATAGGGCTACCATATCAACTCTTAACCATCTCTTCTCTAGGCTGAACATCCCCAGCTCCCTAAGTCATAGAATCATAGAGTTGGAAGAGACCCTAAGGGCCATCCAGTCCAACCCCATCCTGCCATGCAGGAACTCCCAATCAAAGCATCCCCAACAGATGGCTGTCCAGCTTCTGCTTAAAAACCTCCAAAGAAGGAGACTCCACCACATTTCTAGGCAGCATCTTCTACTGTTGAACAGCTCTCAATGTCAGGAAGTTCTTCCTAATGTTGAGATGGAATCTCTTTTCCTGGAGCTTGCATCCATTGCTCAATCCTATTCTCTGGAGCAGCAGAAAACAAGCTTGCTCCATTCTCAATATGACTCCCCTTCAAATATTTAAACAGGGCTACAATATCACTTCTTAACCTTCTCTTCTCCAGGCTAAATATAAACAGCTCCCTGTCTCTCCTCATAGGACTTCATGGTTTCCAGACCCTTCACCATTTTGGTCGCCCTCCTCTGGACACGCTCCATCTTTTCCACATCCTTTTTGAATTGTGGTTCCCAGAACTGGACACAGGATTATTCCAGGTGAGGCCTGACCAAAGCAGAATAGAGTGGCACTATTACTTCCCTTGATCTATAGACACTATACTTCTATTGATGCAGCCTAGAATCACATTGGCCTTTTTAGCTGCGGCATCACACTGTTGACTCATGTTCAACTTGGGTCTACTAGAACTCCTAGATCCCTTTCACATGTACTGCTATTAAGCCAGGTGTCCCCCATCCTCTATCTATGCATTTCATGTTTTCTGCCCATAATAATAATAAAATTTATTTAATACCCCGCCTATTGGAAAGCCTACATGTAGTACATCACATTTCTCCCTATTGAAATTCATTTTGTTAGTTCTGCCCCAGCTCTCCACTCTGTTAAGGTCATTTTGAATTTGAGGGTGAACTCAACTTCCATTGGTTGTGCAACACGAACCTTACATGTGCTCTTGTACCCTTGGCCTTTTTGGGCTTCTCCTGAAAATATTGGAGGGGCCACTGTAGGAAAGAAGCTGTTGGACCTGGTAGCCCTTTGGTTCAATCTGGCTTCTAGTGTTATTGTTGTTGTGTGCCTGCAAAGCGACTCTATCGCAGGGTTTTCTTGGCAGGTTTCTTTGCTATCCTCTGAGGCTGGGACTGGGTGGGTCGGTGGGAGGGAGTGGGTGAGAGAGTCACACTCTCTCAGCCTCAGAGGATGGCAATGGCAAACCCCCTGTG